AGTCTATTTTCTAACTTGTATAGCCTTCTCTTACACAAATCAAATAAATAAACCATTTCCGCGCCCTCATCGACAATTGGTGTGGCATTTAGCTTTTGCCATTTCTCTGCAAGCTTTTGTGTGCAACATTGTAAAAGATATTTCAGAGCCGCTGAAACTGATGCAGCTCGAATTCAGTTTCTGAGAGTGCGAGGGATATTGATCACACTAAGATTCATCGTATGCAGGGAAAACCCACGGCACGCACACAGCCCCTCTCCCACAGGGACGTGCAACTGAGACCAATAATGATTTGCAGCACAAGCTGACATAAAGATACTCTTGTTACTATCTCACTACAACTTGAAGTAGCAGATACTCAACTGTCTTTACTGGCATCATTTCATTGAGAAAAACAAGCTTTACTTTGAAGAAAACAGGCCAAGTCTCTGGAGTCGACTCTAAATACATTAAAATAAGTGGAGGCGAGCACACAAGCTTACCGCCATGAATTAAAACTGAGCAGTCATTGACTAGAGGGAGGCAGCAGAATACATAATAAGATCACATGCACCACCATGTGTTTTATGCAATGGTGTTTTCAAGACTACATATCAATGCTGTGAGAGGTTGAGATAACAGGAATACATATTTGCAACTGATTAAAGTAAGATGTAAATAATATAATGTATCACTGAGCCTTGAAATACCTGTGTGCAGTGAATTATCCTAAGATATGAAACTGTTTGCTTCTAAGTATGTTGGCTTTATCTAGGTTTAGACACAGTTTTCTTGGTTCAGAGCTTTTCTATTACATCATGTCCTATGCAACTTGCAGTGGGTGTTAGTATTTAGAAGCACAGATGTGAGGAGGTGCAACATGGCAACTGAGGACTGTTGGCTTTGGTTTAATAATTTCACAACTATACAGAAGAAAACCTATATATATATATATATATATATATATATATATATATATATATATATATATATATATATATATATAATATATATATATATATATATATATATATATATATATATATATATATATATAGATATATATATATAAAAGAGTAGAATATGAACCAAGACTAGCAACAGGATTTTAAAAAATTCCAAAATGTTGCAACCTTTCCATCACTCAACATAATGAGCTTATACTGAAATAAAATTTCATTTCTAGAAATAAAGCGTTTTCATTATTCCCTGCTAACTTTAACTTTTCAATTTTCAGTTCAAGCTCTGATACATGCTGTGACCTTTATTTATAATTACTTAGAAGGTATTTATTTTTCTTATAGTTAGTTTCCCTGTCTAGTTTCATTCACACATGTTCAACACACATACCCTGCATATTTAGACTGACCTTATCCCTGAAACATAAAACACTCTGTTTCACCTTGTAATGTCATGTGGGAATACAGGAAGTGCTCCACTGTGTTTTTAAACTTCATACACCTTCACTAGAATCATTTGAATAATTTCAGCCTGGGAATCTCGACTGAACTAAAAGAAAAAGGAAGCTGTTAACTTGAAAACTATGGTGTCATGACATCACAAGGTGGAACAGTGCATTTTGGGCTTTGAAGATGTAGACAGACTAATAATGCAGTATTACATAAATATATGTGAACAAAACAAATACAACAGGTAACAGCATTATAACATGTCGTGAAGCTCACAAGATTCAATTTTGTAGAATATACGTAGGACCTTTAATGTTAACAGTTGACATAATTAACAAGAGCAGATAATCAGTGCAATATTAGAAATAATTTCATTAAAAGAAATACACTTTGCAGAATTGAAATTGTTAGAAGATGTGTCACTTTATGATAGTTTTACTGCGTGTACCCTGGGCAAGCATCACAACACATACGGTAATAGCCTTACATATTCAAATGTATTCTGGCAGTCTCCGGGGAGGGCTTTCTCGTTAATAGGTGAAGCTGATCAATGCTGAAAACAATGAGGCTGACACATCCTGCTGCTGTCATTGAGAACGGCTAAGAGCAGTATTCATGCTCTCAGCCTGCTCTGTCCACAGGGGATTCTAGTTTATGTTAATGTCATGTCACAACACTGAGAAGTCCATAGTTTAGAATTGTGATGGAGGGCAGGTAAGAATAGTATGGTGAAGTTTGAGCGATGATCTCATTCTTGTAAGTGACAATCTGCTATTTTGATTAAATTAGCATATTGTGATTCACTAATTCTCTCTAATGTAATCACAACCACACCTCCTATTGGTCAACCTCAGCAGTTAATGACAGATGAATTTAAAATTGCAATAAACTTTCAAAATTTAGCATGTTCTATCCTGGAAAAAATATGAACCCACGCCATTTATTGTACATTTTGTAAAAAACACATTTTGCTTTTCCTTCTTGTTGACCAATCTCAGGTCTCATCTCAAGGGAACTGTGTCTCCTCCCATCCTTACTCAACATGATACGTCCTTCACTTTATTTTTAAACCATAGACTATTAAGAATCTTATGACATCACAGGCACACAGTCTACTCCCTCTTACGGGCCCTGAGCAGCAAAGCCTCCATCACTCAAGTAAATGATTCTGATTAATCAGCAGAGTGCCGGAGTGTGGAGGTTACATAGGAGAGCTGCCTGCTTCAACACTAAATCTTCCTCACACTGGGTTGGACCTGCATCTTCTCCATGCCTTTAATCACTCCCTATATACTGCAGTGAGAGTCTCCTCCTCCTCCTCCTCCCTGGCAGCAGCAGCACATGCACGGCTTTTCAGGAACAGATGACTGAACCGGGGAAGCCCTAAGCACAACATTTAAGAGTCACATGCAGCAGAGGATCCATAAACATGCAATTATGCAATCATCGCTTTTGCGTCTGCGGTGGTGAGCCACGGATGCTCTCATTCATAATTGATTCAAATGATGACAGAATATATCCCAGAAATGATTATTTAACAACTATAAGTCACGTGGCAATTAAATAAAATGTTGCAGTATTAAGCCAGCTGTAGAAGAGTTGTATTGAAAATGTGCTGTTTTTGAGACACAGTTGGATAAAAGATATAATATCATTGTCAATAACAGAAATTGCATGAAAAAGAGACCAAAACATCTAATGTAATCTCCTGAACATGAGTATAAAGTTATTTTTTATGGTTCATTTTATAGTCTAGTTTTTGTACCAGACTTGAATTGACAGGCACATTTTTAGCACATTCCTGATTCATTGTTAAATATATATAAATACACTATTAACTGTAGACAGAGATAACTCAAAATGATATTGAGATTTTCATTTTGTCAATATAGTCCACCCCTAACCAGCAGTTCAATGTAAAAACAAAAACAAGCTAAACAATGAGAGCATGACTTAATTAGTATTGAATATTGAATATAACAGTGCTTTACATTGCATTTACATTCTGGCCATAGGTCCCTCTGAGCACCAAAGTTCATTCGAGCACACACACCACATTCATACACACGCGAAGTGGGTGAAGGGTATTGCCCAAGGACACAACCGGGTTGAGTACTATCCTCCTTCTAGTGCAAGACCTAAGCTTGAATGAACACAGAGGGTTGTGTCAATTTAATATTAAGAGCACTGGATGTTGGATAGTAGATAATGAAGAACCTTGAATAGAAAAGCTGAAAGGAAAAAGGACTTTAATTTTATGAACCACTTAATTTCAGTTTTCATTAACTGTAAGCCTTAAGCATAAGTATAAAAACAAACACTTAAAAATTCACTCACTGTACTATCTATTGAATTGGTCTGAAATGTGTTTGCCTTGGGTTATATGTTTTAAAAATATATAAATGCCTTTTGAATCCAACTCATTTAAATTGACTTTTACATTATTTTCCAGTTTACTAAAAGTTAAAACCAAGCATTAAATGGGTAGGTACTGCGTATTCATTCTTGGGGAGAGCGATATAACATAATCTCAATTTTATTACAGTCTAGATTACAATTAGTAGTCTTTATCTTGAATTTAACTGCAAACTAAAACAATATGAGTATGGAAAGTTAATGCTTTACTGTGATTGGTTGGACACAACTGTCAGTCAGGGCATGACAAAGGCTGGCCAATAGAAAGAGGGGTGAAGTATGTGTTTGAGCATAGGGCTACATTAAACGGACCACATTATGCTATTTTCTGATCTGTGTTATAATGTTGTTTCCTCATCAAAAACATACCTGGAATTGTGTTTTGTTATATTCACACATGTTTAACACAGAAATGCAACATATTTTAATCATGTGGTAATACAGGAAATGTTTCACTGAGTTCCTAAACTTCATACACTTTCACTAGAATTATTTGGGTCATTTCAGCCCTGGAAATGCCGAACAAAACATAAAAGGTAGTTCTTAACATGAGTACTACCACTACATGACATCACAAGGTGGAAGAAACCATTTTGAGCTTTAGAGATAGAGACTGATTAATACTTAAAGTTACTCAAACATGTGTGACCGAAACAAGCCACAATTCCAGGTATGTTTTTGATAAAGTAAGAAAGTTCTAAAATGACTAAAGATAAAAATAGTAAATTTTACATAATATAGGGCCTTTACACAGAGAACCATTGAATCACAATCAGAGACAATCACCTAACAACAGTGTGTATCACCACTATTCACTTGGCATCATATCAATTTGACTTTTATTCTCATATTGCCAAGCCCAAACTTCAATTTTTTTTTCAATTCATTTTTAATACTGACTCGCTGTGGGCCCCAACCATAGACAAATTACCGTCTTGACTTCCTGCCAGTGAACACTGGAGGAACAGAAGCAGCCTGGTTGTTAGATTGACCAGAAGCTCTTGACATTTGGGAGAAGGGCATTGGCTGCAGGATGGGAACATGTTACAGTATGTGCAATGTTCTGTCTCATCCTACAGAAGACGGCCCAGGCAGATACACAGGGTTGCACTACACATCGCCAGTTAAATAGATCTTAACACATCTCTACTGCTCAGGGCATGTATATGAAATAATACAAAGAGATTAGGTACTTACAGCCGAGTCCTGAATGTTAAAATGTGGCAGGAGGTTATCACAGTGTGATGGGTTTGGTCAAACAATCTGCAAGATAAAAAAAAAACAAAAAAAAAGTATTATCAGAATAGTACTCTGTAGAGGAGATATAATTAACTTCTACAGCGGTTCTCATATAAAGCGGGTTCTGGTGGTATTCAAGAGTCTTTTGGCCTGGTTTAGACCTAGTGAAGTCCCAATCATGGTCTGAAATGCACCGATCCACCTTTTTCAGTTACAATACTGATTTCGATACTGTAGATACTCGATATCAACCGATATCATTGCAGAGACTGAAGATAGCATTTATTTGCTTTAAACAAAAATAAAATAAGACAAAACTGATCCAAATGTGTTGTGTAGCTGTTATTTATGCCACAAGTAACTACAGAACAGCCTTGTGTAAATAAAAGTTCAAACATTTTTTAACTTTCTGGACCAACTATGACCAGTATAGTCTTATTTAATCAATGTGGATATCCACTGAACTGATATTTGGATGCCAACATCTTTTCCAGCAAATTTTTCAGAATAGCCGCTGATATCAGATTGGTGCATCCCTAGTCTGGTTTTAGTCCTGTAGCTCTGGCACATGAGGTAATACATTAACACCTTGTTTAGTCAGAGTAACAAGCTGGTTCAGTCATGTTTTTGGTAAAAGTCCACTATGTAACTTTTCTGAGGAAGACGTTTTTGCTGGAATGTTCAGCACTATGGCATTATGGTGCCACCTACTTGTCTTCATAGATACGTTTAATGCCATACCGTGGACCATTCCAGGCAAAGCAACAACATCTCCATGGAAACAAGCAACAGTACATTTACATTACCCACTTTAAGTAACTTTAACTTATTTGGTCCAAGTATACATCTGTTTGGTAATTAGTTTAGTTAATTATTTTTCACAAATTAAGAATACACAATATTTCCTAGTACTTGGTCTACAGTAGAAATGGATCTTTCTTTCCTTTCACCAGCACACAAAACAACAAAAACAGTCAGTAGTAAATTATCAAAAAATCTCATTCATTATTCTCACATCAAAACAGTGAAGCAGCAGAACAGTAGCTGCAGCAGAATCATTTTGAGCTGAAAGAACAATATTGACAGCTGTCCGACTCTTACATAAACAAGCTGATAGATGCCCGGAGCTGAATGATTTGATCCACGGTGCAGCGCTGCAAATGAATTATCAGTGACAGCGATCTGGTGCAGTACACAGCTCACCAGTTATTGGATTAATTTATTGTCATTAGCAGAGTACCACCCTAATGGTCCTCTATGATGGATGACTCTGACACATCACACTTTCCCTCATACTTAAAGCACATTTCTATACATATGGCTTGAGTAATATGGGCGTGGCAACCTGACAACACTTACGAAGTTTGGCTGCAGGATGGCCTAGGTTAAAAAGTAAAACAAAGTGATAAGAAGATGAAGGTGAGAAAAGTAGGCCTTGAGTAGTGTTTTTGAGTATCCTGTATGCATGGATTTCAGAATGAAGAAAATACCACTGCCATGGCAATTAACAATTCAAAGCAAAAGTTGTCCTGTCCCAGTACCCACAATACACATGTGCACTTCATGTGTTCTTCAGTGACCATGGTGACACAATGCAATCATTGCCAAAAAAAAGTTTTAAAGTAGTCTGAAACAAAAAAATACAAAATTAAATTAAACAACACATTTTCAGGAGCATCAATTTGTGCGTTCATGGTCCTGTTTAGATGTTTGATTTTCAACAAAAAGGTGAGCGTGACAGCACAAATCAGACCAACTATTGTAGTTTTGGCCAAATTGTTTCTTTATGGTCAGATTGAGTTAAAACAAAGCTCAGATTGAAGTCTAAATTGAGTAACAAAGCTTCAGATAAAGCAGTGCCTCCAGATATCTGCACACCTCTAGGGAATGTTGATGACATCAGCTGTGAAGTATCAATTGCAAAAACAACCGTTATCAAAATGGCTTTAAAAAAGAAAATTTATAGGCTTGTTCAAATTAATTTTATAATTAGTTCTAGAGGTAGTGTGGGTTGGTATGGTTATGATGCTGATTAACTGAGTAATATGCATACCCTTTCATCATGATTGGGCATTTTAAATCTCTCTAATTGCCAACATAAGGACTTAAGTGAATTCTATTTCAGGGAGAGTTTCTCCCTCAGTCTTGGCAAAACAGTCCATTTCATGATTCATTAGCCTTAATAGCTTTAATGTAATTGTATCACACGCAATCTACAGAGAGAAAGAAGAACCACCTCCAACTGTTCCAGTGACAAAAACAACTTACTGAAGAGTCAAACTTTTTGCTCTATATGTCTCTTAGTGAAGTTGTGATAAAAAATGGATTTCCTTATCGGGTGTCTGGCTAAAAAGTGGCAAAACTTTTGAAAGGGTGGAAGATTGATAAGTTTGTTGCAAGCGACCTTTTCTATCTTACTGCCAACTCAAGCAAGACAACGGCTAATGATTCATTCTAGTAGAAGACACATAAGGAGACGAGATGTCCGTCAGGGAGCCCACAAATTATGGGCATCAAGTAACATTTTTTCCCAAAGGTACTGCAATTGTGATTAGATTTGCAATTAGTTTTTCAAAAGATTCATTTCGCTCTGAGCATTTTAAGCATTAGCATTTGAGAAAAATATGAACTACAAATATGAACAGGATTAATAGGTTTTATACATTATATAAGACCCCATGGAGACTGGATATTTGTAGACTGAAGACACCCACAATAGGTATAATCCTCCAGATAAAGTAATCCTGACCAAACCTATAGGCTCAAGATCTACAGATGGGTCCCCTTACACTGCACCGTGGCACCCATGGTTTGAGGCAGTTCCTCAAAGTGGCATTTAAGGATGGGTCAAATGCAGAGGAGGTTTCCATATGGGGACAATAACAGGCACTTTAGGTCTGATATCAGGTACCGGCACTTGTACTCATCAGTGTGTGCCAGAGCCAATACCAGAATAACTGTGCTATGTCATATTTGACACTCATCGCAGGCATCACAGCTTGCCTCTCAGCTGAGCACTGAACTCTGAGCAAAGAAGGTGACCATAAAGACTGCACATTAACTGTTCTGCACATTAAGCTCAGCTTTAGTCATGTGTCACATGAACAATGAAAATATTAAAGACTGAAGTTTTTTATAGTTCACAAATATCAGTGCAGTGCCTGTTGTTTACATAGTAGCAGGCTAACGTGGCTAAGTGATGCACTGTCTGTTCTAAAAGTGTCTCCTTAACAGTTAATGCAGAGCACAGTTTGCAAAGATGAACTATTAAATATTAAAAGGTACTCACTCATCTAAATATACTGGAATAATATGTGATTTTAGAAGAAATCAAATAAATATTCCAGTGAAAAAGTAGGCTATACTATAAAAATCCAAAGAAATTAATCTCTGTTATTGGTACTCGGTATCATTACTTGGAATCGGAAAGTACTCAAAAAGAAGTACTCGACAAAAGTGATATCGCTGCATCTCTAGTGAAGTCCAGTCTTTGTAACTTGACCAAATATAGATTTTATTCATTTTGAATTACACAATTCTGTCATTCCGAGTAATTCTGAGATATTTAGGTTTAAAGTTCTGACCTCTCATACGGTACAATGGAATGGGGAAATGGCTTTTTGCTGATATAAACCTAAACAATAAACCAAGAGCTACAAAATCATGGTCAGATATTTAGGAAGAAGAATGTATACAACTCAATTTCAACAAAAATGTCAGACAGAACCATGAAATTCTAAGGGGATGATTTCCATTGAGATGATTTTCTCAGTCCTACTTCACAGCCCTCAAAAACACATCATGAAACTGCCAGAGTGATTTGAGAGAAGAGAAAAGTAAAGCAGAGGCGCTTCCAACTCAGCAGCAGCAGCCTCCAAAGATGACAAACACCTTATCGCTTCCACCATAACACACACTTCTCTAATCAGCCCTGATTAGCTTGGGAAACTTAAAGAGGTCTTGTTGAATAACACCAAGAGTAGAAATCATAGGGGAAATAAATGTCACCCCGCGAGGACAAATAAAAGGTCAACGCTTTGCTCCAAAATCCTGCAAAAAACATGGAGATGATCATAAATTGGCGAGCTGACAAAGCCGGCGGGCCTGATGTGCAGATTCTCAGATACAATCACGTTAAAAGGGAACTGCCTCTTGGTGAACATAATTGGATCTTTCCTCTACCTATTTATGTCCCCAAGGGAGCCAAGTACACAGCAGAAAAATGAAGGTTTTCAAATAAGGCCCCTGCTTCCATTAGCTCTGTGAAACATGCTGCAATTAGCCAATAACATGTTGGGTAACAGCGTGATGTTGTTACCACTCGGAGCTCTTAACATTGTACAGGTCAAATCACACAGAGGCAGTACATATATGTATCAGCACCATGGACAGCTCTAGGCCTGTCACGATACGCAATAATACTGAAACCAATCTAATTAAGATTAAGATAAAGCAAGCATAACCCCAGTACACTCTTTTAAAATAGACAGTATCATTAAAAATCATCAACAAAATGAGCCAATAATTATTAGCCATAAAACTTTTTTATTCAATTTATTCAACCCTCTACATCTCAAATTGTGTAGTGTCACAACTAAAATAACAAAATCTCCCAACTTTTGCAAAGAAAATGTACCCACGAGCCTAAAAATACATTGTTCTAGCTATCATATCTTGAATAATAAATCAATATAGCATTTATTGTGACAGGCCTAGACAGCTCAGGTACTTTTTGTTATCGGATTATAGATTCTTTTAGTCTTTCAATTGCTATGCTTTGCCTTATTCTAATTGGATACAGAAACACTGGACCTTAGATGTACTAGTCCCTGGACAATGGCTTGTTATTCATTCAAGGGATACCTGTGGGTAGCGCACAGCAACACAGTAAAGGCATGTCTATTCAGAGGGATTCTGCCTCTCTCTCTCTTTCATTATTTCTGATTGCAGGTGGTACTTCAAAATATAAAAAAAATAAAACAATACCCCCAAATGTCCAATTTTGTCTGATTTCTGGAGCTAAG